ATGACTGTGCGTGTGGCCTAACTTAAGATATAGATGTTAGTAACCCCCTTATAAACCCGTTGTAACCCCCTTATAACTCTGCTGTCCATGTAGTAAGTCCCTGCTAACTTAATGGACGCTAGTAGAGAGTTAGTGGGACGATATAGAAGTTACTAAGCCCAACTTAACTTCATAGCTAACTTTGTCTAACTTATTTTAACTTATTTTAACTTATGTCGGTTTTGTGTGAGAACATTTCTGCATGTGTCAGCGATGGCTGTCTTGGTTGCATGCATCCCACATTGTGCCGTCTGGAAAGACATTTCAGCAAGCTGCATTGTATGCGTTCGCAAAAGCTCGGTTGAAACATGCTGCCGCCGCAGGCTCCTGCTCCAAGGTGAGGATAGATCGACCGGAAGGCCTGCCCTTGCAGCCATGGCCAGCGTCTTGGAGGAAGTGCAGGGCGCTGTGCAGTACTTGGTGCAAGCGAAGCAGTGCCTCTCCGACGGCAAGTTCGTCGAAAGCCGGAAGGCGCAGGTCGATCGTCTGGCCGTTCTGTGCTCCAGCTTGCCGTCCAACCAGCACTCCGGGACGGCGATGAGGACACTTCGCGAATCCGGAGTTTTCACGGACGAGCAGCTGGAGCGCTTGGCGGAAGGGCTTGGCAGCACCGGGAGGTCGTCAGTGGCGGTGCTGTGGCAGCAGGGCAAGTGCCAGGACTACGAGCACTTCTTCCGGGTCCTGCCTGCGGCGGTGTGGGAGCAGATCGCTGCAGGCCGGGAGGCTGAAGAGTGGGAGGTCTTCTCGGTGCTCGCGGAGTTCCTCGCACGGGCCGGGTGCATCTCGCCTTCGGAGTTCACATGCCGAAGCCTGACGGCTTTCATGTTGCTCCGCTTCCGGAAGGATTGCCTGTCGTTGAGCGCCCAGGAGAAGCACGACTTCTACGTGAAGTACAAAGACGCTTTGCGGGCGAGGCTGCAAGGCCACTTCGACAGCAATCCTGAGCGGAAGTTTTGGCCGATCGTGTGGAAACTGACCACACCGAACTGCTTGCCAGCGGAGTGGCTGCAGTGTTCGGGGATCGGCCCGGCGAGTGCAGCCACTGGTGCACGGCCCAAGGAGTCGGAGGTCCGGTGCTACGCGCTGACCATAGCGTGCAGGGATACACACCGGGATCTCTGGCGAGCCGGTCGGAAGACTGCTGCCCAAGCCAGCGGCTCTAGCGGCGGGGAGGTCAAAGCCGTGATGAGTTTACTTGAGAAGCTCCTCGCTGGCTGCCTGCCACAGCCCACGCTGGAAGGCTTGCCTCTGACCAGGCAGCTTACTCAGACGGCAGCTCTCCCTGCACTGACGCTGCCTTTGCCAGTCGAGCAGCCCGCTCCGGAAGGTGTCCCCGCACTCACGCTGACCCAGCAGCCCGAAGAGCAGCCAGCCGCACCGCCAGCCTCACTTGCAGCGAGCACGCCAAGCCTTCCTGAGCCGAAGCCAGCAAGCCAAACAGCTTCGCCCAACAACCTGCAGGTCTGCCCGAGCAGTTCTACCGGCCAGCTTCCGTCTACCGAGGAGGTCAACCCGGCGCTGGCTTCCCTGAACGCTTTCACTAACAAGTACCAGGTGGTGGAGAACCTGCCGAAGACCGAGGAGAACCAGGAAGTGAAGAAGCCCAAGGCAAAGGCCAAAGCAAAAGCCAAAACTGCTGCGAAGGCTGCTCCTAAGCCGAAAGCTGCAGCGAAGGCCAAGGGCAAAGCCGCTGCGAAGGCCAAAACTGCTGTGAAGGCTGCTCCTAAGCCGAAAGCTGCAGCGAAGGCCAAGGCCAAAGCCGCTGCGAAGGCCAAGGCTGCCGGAAAGGCGGAGCACAAGAAGAAGGACGACTTGTTGACCCTGCGGAAGCAGCTGCTCGCCGACGCCGGGGTCGACAACACTCTCGTCCTGAAGTTCGGCTCTGGTTGTGCGAGGTGCCGCAAGCGACCTCTGTGCACTTTGTCGTGCTGGAAGTTGCGGGGGTTCAGCCCTTCCAAGAAGGCCTGGAAGAACCTCACCGCCGGAAGGCAGTAGATGACGGACGTCGTCTACTGCTGGAAAGATGGCGGAAGTCATCTGCGGGAGCTTGTATCATAGAGGTAGTGAGCTTTTTGTTTCCTCATGTTCGATTTCGAACATCGCTTATTACCATGCAGTCTTTAAAGAATTCATGAATAGTCCACGTTGTACAGCTATATACGGAAGCACGACCAGATATGCTTCTGTCGTGGAAGCATGACCTCTATAGCGGCTTGGAACGCTCAGGACTGCAACACGTCTGGCTTGACAGGTCCTTGAGCTTAGGGTATTGTCTTGCGAGAGAAAGCAAACAGGACAACACTGCAAGCATCGATATCTGTTGAGCCGTTCCGCAGCGCATGGAAAGTAGCACCCACTGTGCCCGCCCGTTCGCCTCCCAATGTCGGACTCCGAGTCTTCCGCTCTCTCCTCGCTCTTGGAGGACCACTACGAACAGGAGCCCGAGCCTACGGAAGAGCTCCGGAAGGAGGCGACAGCCACAGCCTCGCGGATCGCCGCCACCTTCGGCAAGCTGGTCGGCCAGCTCGAAGAGGTGCAGTCCTGGGAAGATCGGCCCTCTTGGTTCTCGGCGGTGGACCAAGAAAGGCTTGACGACTTCCTGGCGGACTGCCGGGAGGCGTTCAACGCAGCTGAGGGCCAGGTAGCCAGTTTTTCGGAGGGCCTTACCTTCGGAGGTAGGGGCCCCGGAAGGGTCCGGGTCCAGCGCGACGTTGACCTCAAGCTCCAGCTGGGGGCAAGGGCCCGGGCCTGGGTGCAGTGCATGCAGCGGGCACGCTCGCGCCGCCAGGAGGCCCTGGCGAAGGCCGCGGCGAAACGCCGCAGGCTGGCCGGGACTCCTGCAGCAGCGGAGCGTGCGGAAGCCGAGCCTGCGGAAGCCGAGCCTGCGGGAGCGGCCTAAAAGGAGCCAAAAGAGCTCCTGCGGAAGCGGACTGAGCCAAGAGAGCCAGTCGAGCTTCAGCTTTGGGTTTTGGAAAAAAATGCAGACGGGCGCTTTGCAGCCGCGCAAGGGCATGTGGGCGCTTTGCAGTCCTGCAAGGGCATGTGCTGGAGCCCAAACTGTCTGTCCTTGCTGCTATATTTGGCTGACAAGTCCTTTGTGTGCTTAGGTCGTAGGTTCTTCCTTGGCGCCATGGCAAACCGTAGCCCGTCTGAGCTGTTGGCCCGGCTGCAGGAGCAGACCGCGGAGATGACCAAAGTGGCCGAGAACCTTTCGCCGCAGAAGCAGGAGGAAGCAGACGCGGCGGAAGCAGCGGCTGCGGAGGCAGCGGCGGCGGCAGCAGCGGCGGCAGCACGGGCTGCTAAAGCCAGCTGGGAGGCGACGGAGAAGCGGCCCTTTGCGGAAGCGTCTGTCCGGCCCACGGCGGACGCCTTTGTCGAGGACGACATGCCCGCGGCGGAAGCCTTCCTCGAGGACGACATGAGAACCCGCTTTCCTCCTGCCAGTTTTGAGACGCCGGAGCGACGCTCTGGCACTCAGCGTAAGCGTTTGAAACGCGGGGACGCTCCAAAGAAGAAGCCTGCGGGATTTGAAGTATGATTTTGAATCATGAAGCAGAAAAAATGCACGGCTCCTTTCGCAATGGTTGATGTAGCCGTTTTCGGTGAATGACTATATAATGGTATACTATTTTGATGTGTTGGGTTGATGTTGTCTTGTATACTGACAGGGTCCGCGGCTGCATCGTCTACGGCTAGCGAGATAGGCCGGAAGGCCAAAGTGTTTTGGTGTTTTATGCTGGTGTTTAGCTATTATACTTCTTCATGCACATGGCCGGAAGGCCAAGCCGGGAGGCCGAGGCCGGAAGGCCAAGCCCTGAGGCTTCAAATCAAGCCGGGAGGCTTCATATTTGCAACAGGTCTTTGCCAGCATGCATGTTTTGCGAGGGCTTCGCGGATGTTGTTGCACATGGCATGTTGCTCAATTTCAATGTCCGCGCCGCCTCCATCTCAAGCGGTAGAGAGAGAGAGAGAGAGAG